GTAACGATTTAGCAAGCGTAGCTTAAATGCTGTACAACATCGACTGTATGAATCAGACAGTTAAGATCGAAGTCACTTCTCAGTCTTAACTGATCTAGCAAGACAAGATTGCCAACCACGTTGAAGTACCTTAAATGACTTTCCAAGCGTCGTTTGCGATGTGGTATCAGGCCGAAAATCTGCTGCACCCAGTGAAGACCTGACAATCGTAACTGAAGTAACAAGAAAATCTAGCTAGCCATTACGCCACATCGAAGTGGCCTTTCACTATGTATAGTTAGTCGCTCTCGTTCCCTATTGAGCCTTGGACTACATTTAACGCCGCATCTTACGTGTGTTAATAAGGAGATTTACTTCAGCCCCCTCCAATGAGTTAGGTTGTGACACAAGGTCAGTTTTTAACATGGGTACGCGAGTGTTTTCGCTGAGGCCTCTGGTCCAAACTGGTCTTAGCTGGTCATAGCGTGTCCAAGATGGTCAGAGCTGGTCGAAGCTAGTCATAGCAGGTCTTGGCTTGTCATAGCTGTCCCAAGCTTGTCGTCACCGTGACATATCAGCACAGGGACGCATCCCTGTGCCAGGTAAGTATCTAGGACGTATTAATAAGAATGCACACGTTTTAATAAGAAAGCGAGTAAGAGTTTCAAGGGGAATTTAGATTTATAAGCAGTCCTCAGCTGCATCTGCACACATAGGTTTGTGGGATCCGCCTTGAATTCGTTTTTTCCTTCTCCTATAGTGGTTCTCACGCACGTCTATTTTACTCATAAATAGGGGAGAAGAAAAGAAATCATACCTCTCCTTTTCACGTAAATGAATGTAATGAACTAGACTGGAATTCGATCTCGGCTCTCCGATTTCTCAATCCGACCCGCAAACAATTACTTCATCTATCCTCTTTGAAAAGAACCTATTTTTCTTTTTAGTAAAAAAAAAAAATATGATTCTCTTTTGAATATTATTTACTTGTAATTTCTCAGTGTTTTCCACTTGTACTTTTTTTTCTGTTTCTATATATGCCCCATTCATTCTCGACTCACCTCGCTAAAAACCGAAATTTCTTTCTATCAGGCTTTTTTTTTTCTTTTTCAGAGAGAAATTGCAAAAGGTAAAAAAAAAAACGAAACAAACAATACTTTCCTTTTGGCATAAATTCGATTCCATGTACATTAACGCTTAATAGGTAATATTGTCTGTAGAACTATCTACCTACCTCGGAAGTTCTTCAAGGGGCCATTCAAACATACTTATTGGCTTTAACAATTATTATTGGAATGTACAAGAACAATGAGTCAAGAGGGAAATTAAAGCCGCAACAGAAACTATTGCCCAGAGTTGCACTCTACTTGAATTATTCGAAGTAATAATAGACAATAGCTTTCTAATAGCATTAGAAGTATAGAGTTTCTTCAGTCATGGGAAAGTTCCCTTCCTGAAATGTGGCTTTGGAGTTTCTTACCATAATTTGTTTTATTAAAGCAGATCATTTGTTCCTTTCTACACATGGTAACAAAGATAGCTTAAAATATAAAACAATTCACTAAACTTAAGCATCAGGGAATGCTTTAAAACTTAATTTAAAAATGAAAGATCTTCAGAGGCAGTATTCTAATGTTATGTGTCACATCGGGATCATTGATCGCCACAACTTCCTATCCTTTGTAGTTACGAGTAATGTTTTTTTTTGGCATTGCTCTACGCCGCCGTCACAGTTTTACTATCCATTTACACAAGCTCGTTCGGTAGGTTAATTGCTGTTCCCGCTGCCTGTGTTGCCTTCTGTCCATTCTGAGAGCGTTACATTCTTCATTTCACTCGTTTTTGCGTCCCGGAAATTTTAACTTCGAAATGTGTATTTTTGTTTCCATTTTTCTTGACACTTCCTCATTGCTGACATCGCTATCCATCGCAATGTATTTCCAGTTTAAAAGAATGAATAAATTCGATTGTATTTGATAGCCATAACCTTAAATTGTCTTTTTCAAGCTTGACCTATCAGGCATCATGAAGCCTTGAAAACAACAAAAAAAGATTGTAAATTTTCTCTAACAAAATCTTTTTAAAACGCAAAGCAACAATTTTATCCTGCCACTGCAAGAGACTCAGGTAAATGAATGATAATGTGTTCGAATTTTGCACTTGTGTTGTCATATCCTGCTATGGTAACAGAAAAAGATTTTGATTGAAATTAAGTTGTTCAGTAGAGGATATTTGAAAGACAATGTAGTGGAATGGGAAAAAAAGTGAATAATGCAGAGTGTTAAAGGCTAAAATATGTGTTGTTATTCTTAGGTTTTATTTGAATTCAGTTTTCGCAAAATTAGTTATCAACACTGCCCATACGTTTTTCAATTCCATTCACTCAACTCTTTTATTCGAGGACCATTATCCCTGTAAACAACAGTTCAATTATAGTGAATCGTTTTTCAAGTGATATTAAAACAGAACAAAGGTCGATACATGCGTCACCTTTCTGTAGAAGCAAATGTTACCTCAAATTACCTGTATTTCTTCAGTCAGTTATGTGCCTTGCGTGATACACGCTTGGGCGATCATATAACTTTCGATACATGACTGACGAGGCAGATTTTTTTCCCGCAGTACGTTGCCATTTCTTTCTGCGGTAGACCAGTTGCTATCCAAGATTATAGAACTCGGACACACCTGCTATTTACCGATAGCTGGGGGGGGGTAGAGAAAAAGAGTATTCATAGCTTTCCCAAGAGTATTAGCAGAAAAGTGAATGTAATGGTATCGACTGGAATTCGAACTTGGCTCTCCGAAGGGGAAAATATTCAGAAGTTGATTTTAGTAAAAATACAACACATTCATAGGCGTAAAGGCATCTATCATATCTATCTCACTGTGCGACCCAGAACAACAGTATTATCAGTTATGTGGAATGCGCGGTACACGCTTGGGCGATCGTGTATCTTTCGATACATGACTGACGAGGCAGATTTTTTCCTGCAGTAGGTTGCCATTTCTTTCTGCGGTAGACCAGTTGCTATCCAAAGATATAGGACCCGTTCTTTCCTGCTATTTAACCATAGCTGCTGGAGAAGAGGATTCATACCTTTCCCGAGTGTATTAGCACTTAAGTGAATGTAATGAATTCGACTGGAATTCGAAACTTTCCAGTTTCTCAGTCCGAGCCGGTATCCATTATTCCACCGAGCCTTCAGTATTTCCTCACAAATGCGAAAAAAAAAATTAAATTAAATAAAATGCCTGAAATCTAGAAATGCCAGTGATCGGTAATTATATAAATAAAAGCAAATTTATGAACAGTGATCGTTTATTTTTGCTACGTTTACTCACATTATCTTAATAGTATTATGGTTGAACAAGTATTGCAAATTAAATTCAGTTCACAAAGACTTCTTTATTAACCCTTTGACTGTCCACGGCATTTTCGAGTGTACTATCCAAACGTTCATGCTTGTTTTAAGATTTATAATTATTACACGTCAACTCAGATTATTTGTCAAAAAGAATGCGCTATTGAGTCAATAGCTTCAGAAAGGAAAAGTCAGCTCCTTCTGCCGCACCGGAAAATTTTTCTCGCCTGAGTCATTCTTTCAAATCTACAAATCAACCATTCGCTCTTGCAAGAAGTATTGCTGCCATATATGGTCTGGAGCCTCTTCTTTTTATCCTCAAGGTCCTTGATAAAATTTAAAGACGGATATGCAATGTAATTGGCACTGATCTGACATCTCGTCTGCAGTCGCTCTCTCACAGACGTGCCGTTGCCTCACTCTGTCTTTTTTTACAAATATTTCACGGTAACTGCTCCGATGAGCTGCTTTCGCTAGCTCCCAGACTTCATGAATTTAAGCGTTCAACTAGGCTGGCATCTCGCTCTCACCCTTTCACTGTCGAAACTGTTAAATGTAGCCGTCTCTTCTAGTCCAACAGCTTCACTTCTCGCCTGTGGAACTCTCTCCCCTTTTTCTGTTTCCCTGATAGCTATAATCCCCAACTATTCAAATGTAATGTCAATCGATGTCTCCAGATAAACTGATCTATCCCGTAACCTTCTCTTCATCGTTTCCGTTATCACTCTTATTTGCTCTCGCACCAACTTTCTGTAACCCCTTGCGTGGTAGTGTCTTCCTGCCTTGTTTTGGGTGGAATGCTCAAAAAATATATAGTTTCTCACATAATAAAAACTTTCAAATCATAAGTTATTTACACTACGCTCTGTGCATCACATCTGATGCTCAGGATTTGCTTACGTGAAACGCTATATATCACATTTCATTTGCCAAATAAGCTGTGTTGCATTGCAGTAGTTATAAATCTGAAAACAGCCTGTCATATTTGATGCACAAAATATTAGATTAGGCGTTTCCTCAGATGTCCTGCTAAATACTAGTCTGTTTTCATTAGGGTCCTTAGTTTTACCAGTTTTTTAAAATCATTCGCACCACATATAATGAACGGACGTCGAAATCACATGACCTGTGCTTCACATATGATGAACAGGATTGGCACCTCGAGGCGGTGTAATGGTTAGCAAGCTTGTCTCGCTAGAACAATTACGACTGAGTAGTGAGTTCGATCCTCAGTGGGTGCCCCCTACTTTCGGCTTTGTGCCACATCCAAGCTACGCTTGGAAAATCACTATGATGAACAGGACGTATTCCATTTGGTAGATTTTTTCTGGATCTTCTCAAGACAAGATAATATCAAAAAAAAAAAAAAATAACAGCAATTTTCTTATCTGCCCTGTTTCTACAAAAAAAATCAAATAAAGTTGGATATTACGATATGCAGGTATTGTTTGAAACTCGTAAGTTATCGGTACTTCCTGAATCACTAAGAAGTGTAATCTTTGGAATGTATCTAGATCATTGCTGAACGAAAAATTAAAATCCCAATTCTTTATTCTCAAAATCTTCAAGGTAACTGCCGAAAACCGTCGGATTCGAAGCTGATCGAACAAATAAAAATTATTCACTTTTACGGGTCTGCAAATAAAACTGCGAGGTTACCCTACCTCGTACGCGTAGTTTACTGCTCAGGGGCATTTTATTCAAGACAATATCAGAACGTTTATAACCTCTCACTTTCTCTTTTCTCTATAGAATGCGGGAGATACCGGGCAATTTCTTTCCCCGAGTCTGCGGCTGCTGAACTTCAAAACCAGCGACGATAGGCGTTGCACAAACACAAACAACACACTCATCACCGCACAAAGATACACACACCCATATTTCCTAAAAGCAAAGTTTAAGGATTTTCTTTTTTTATTGCCTATGTACACACAAGTATGTTTTCTATTTAGAATTATCTTATATTATGTTTTATATAATGTACAGTGTATGTGCGTTTGTATGTACAAGGAACTCCTCCGCTACCACTGGTCTGATTTCAATTCATAGCTCATTCAAAAGACCTAGAAACGTTATGTTCAGGTAAATAATTTCGTTGAGCTCAGATTCAGGTTTGCCAGATAATGTGAGGTTAAAAATATATTTATTAAAGACATTTTTATGTTTAACGTTGTTTTTTATAGATACAAGTATTTAAGTAAATGCTCTGTTTATGATAAACAGTATTAAATAACATTTACCGGCCTGAATGTCCGAGAAATTTTTATAGAAAATATTCGTTCTTTGACAGGATTCGAACCTGCATCCTATACGGAACTGTCATTTACGCTGACGTGCCTTACCGTTCGGTTACAAAGAATCGTTCGGTAGACAAGGTCGAATTTATCTTATTATAAACTTCAATCTTTTTTGTAAATCTAGCCGAACGGTAAGGCACGTCAGCGTAAATACTTGTATCTATAAAAAACAACGTTAAACATAAAAATGTCTTTAATAAATAAATTGTCGGACCTTGTCCATTTCTTAAAAATATATATTAATATATTATACTAACCATTATCGTTGCTTTCATAGTTCAAGGGGAGTAATTCTTATATTTCTTTTTACACAAAGTTGCAGCTAGCTTAAAATTTTAAGCAAGCTAAAATTTTAAGCTAACTGAAAAGCCGTCCTATCGGGCGGCATTTAAGATAGCTACTGTGGCGAAATCTTGGCTCGACCTTCATTACAATAGCTAGAGCGGTGTAGATGCGATAGGCATCAATAAACTACATAAGAACTCAAAATTGATCGCTGCATTTAAGTATTGAATCAATGTTTAAACTTACGTTTTTAAAAGTTCAACAGTAATTCTTCTCCTACCAAAGACGATTTGATGTATTATTGTATTTTCCGTACAAACAATCATTTTTATTCCATGGGTGAAAGAACAGGGGACAATTTATAGGATGAAATTAATATAGTGTAAAGTTGGGAAAATAGAAATTAGAATTAGTTATACATTCAACATTTGAAGCATTAGAGAAACATAATAGCTAATTAAGTAAAACCTATATTGAATCCATATGAATAATTGAAAATTGGAGTTCAAGTATCCGACGAATTCTGAGAGTAAAATGTCCCAGCTCTACTTTATAGTAATTTACACTATCTCCCCACTGAGATGTGTTGCGACACATGTTCTTTTTAAGGTGGGGAACCCGAGTGCGTACACCCGGACTAGGAACAAAAAGTTGGCCGCAGCCCCAGCAACCGTCGGTTGCGCTGGCCTCGGTGCAAGCACCGACCCCTCTCTCTGGTGCAATGAGAGGGCGCAGCCTCGGGCAGGTGTTTCCCAGGTCTGGGCACCTCTCAGTATAATTTTTCTCAGTTGCAATTCTGTCCTTTGACGGAGTTGCTCCTGAGAGAGCTCTACCCAAGGACAGAGACGCAACTGAGAGATGATAAATAAATGTGTTATAAACTGCCCAAAGGAGAAATTTGCATTGACTCAACGCCTCCCCTCCACGGGATCGAGTTGTGACACAAGGTCGGTTTAATGTGGGGACCCTGAGCGCCTACGCCCGGGACAGGAACAAACATTCCCCTCAGCCCCAGGAACTGTCAGTTGCGCTGGCCTCGGAGCGAGCACCGATCCCTCCCTCTTGTGCAATGAGAAGGTGCGGCCCCGGGCAGCTATTCCCCAGGGCTGGGCACCTCTCAGTATTATTTTCCTCACTTGCCCCTTTGTCTTTAACAGAGAAGCCCCTGAGCGCACTCTGCCCAAAGAGAGAGACGCAACTCAGAGATGATTAGACGTGTACCTACTCAAAAAGACTAAGGGATTTACACACATTATAAGCTTAATATTTATATTATATATTATCTAGTTCTGGGCAATATCACTCTTCAGGTTTAGCTAATTTGTATTTTGATTTTTAAAAAAGTTTATTTCATTAATTATCTTTTCTTCATTACTGTTCTTCAAGGATTGTTTTGATTTTCAAATAAAAAATAATGTTTAGGAATATCGTCTTATATAGTGCACAAATGTGTTTGAAATTTGCATTTTACTTGGTCTTCAACAAGTGCGCATCTATTTGTAAAACTTTCCTTAACTATAACGGGCCATTTTATGAATGAAATGTTCATTTAAAATTCTTGTTTCAAAGATTTCAGATAGTGAATATATCTTCGCGATGCGATAGCAAGCCGGCGACTCCTACTAGCTCTTTATATAAAACGATATATGTAACTTTACATATTTTCTTGCGAACATGTTGAATCCCTTTTTAATGTTATTATTTTACATTGAACGTATTCATCCTCTTCATCAAAAAGTCGTAACGGCTCCCGCTACAAATTCGTGAGCCGACAGCAAACTTATTCAATAAAGCTGTACAAGCCTTTGTTATCAAACCTCACGCTAATTGTGACTTAAGTTAAAAATTATAAATATTCGACTTCAGGCTGCATTTAATATATTAGATTGCTACTAATCTCCTCGTAGGTTAAGATCCTGCTGTAAGCATAAGCCATACGACATTCTGCTAACATTGTATTATCTACTCGACCTATATTCCAATTTTCTATCCAGTTCGAGAGCCATTCTATAATGAAGCTTCTTTAAAGTCAAGAAGCCACTTATAGAAGACCAGTGACTATCCCGCCAATGTCGAAAACCTTCGATAACAAACTGTTCTTTACTGTCTAATATATAAACAACGTTGTACCTAAGTTACTGCTAACATGAATATCTGTTTATTTCATATGAAGAGGTCGGTGTTCGAATTAGGATAAAACTGAATCCTGCGTGCTGAATTTAATAATAGCCACATCATTACCGCACCCAAATTTGGGGATTGGCCAACTTCATTCCATCAATAATAAATAACCTTAACTTGATTTGAACCAGCCTTGGAGCATCTTTATAAACGAAAATGGCAATTAATGTAGATCAAAGAAAACGATTGCTTTGCTTGGTGCGTGCTGCAGAGTCGAGATCAAGACAATTCTCCTCTGTAAACTTCGATCAAGTGCTCTAAAGGCACGTCGAATTTGGAGGGTTTTACCCGGGATTAGAGCGGCTTCGGTTGAAGGAGGTATTTCAGTGAATTTCGCAATCCACGGGTCGTAAACAGTAGCTTGCGAAATAGACAGACGAATCACTACCATGAGCGTCCATTTAATTTCTTCAATGTGATCAGAATGTTCGAAAATCGACATTCTTGGTAGAGTTAATGAAGAGATAGGCCATTCAAAATTACTTGCAAGAAGAGAACTGCCCTTTTGTTGCTGGATGTGTGATGTATTAGGTTGTGATTCAATTTGGAAGATTAGCTCAAGCATACCGTCATTTGGAACTGTATATCTATCTATCTATCTATCTATCTATCTATCTATCAAATTCACCCAGCCCATTATCTATCAGCCTTTCTATGTAAATATTCCTCTCTCTTGATCTATCTATCTATTTATCTATCAAATTCACCCAGCCCATTATCTATCAGTCTTTCTATGTAAATATCTATCTATCTATCTATCTATCTATCTATCTATCTATCTATCTATCTATCTATCTATCTATCTGTCGCAGTCTTTTAATATGTCTCAACAGTTGAAGATAACGAGTAAATGAATTATCTATCTATCTATCTATCTATCTATCTATCTATCTATCTATTCACTCAGCTCATTATGTATCTGCCTTTCTATGTAAATATTTCTCTCTTTATCTATCTATCTATCTATCTATCTATCTCCTCCGATACTCTCTCTCTCTCTCTATATATATATATATATATATATATATATAAGTCTATCTTTCCCAGCCTGTTCTCTCTTCTCCTTTTCTCTTTGTCTCCCCCTCTCTGTCTATCACCCTCAACCCGTTTTCTGTCACTATCAATTTCACCCCATTTACACTTCCTTTCATTCTTTCTTTCTATGATGGCCTGCTCTCATCTATCTATCTATCTATCTATCTATCTATCTATCTATCTATCTATCTATCTATCAGTCTGTTCATATCTATCTATCTATCTATCTTATTCTGTTCATCTGTCTATCTATCTATCTATCTATCTATCTATCTCAGTCTGTTCACATCTATCTATCTATCTATCTATCTTATTCTGTTCATCTATCTATCTATCTATCTTATTCTGTTCATCTATCTATCTATCTATCTATCTATCTATCTATCTATCTATCTTATTCTGTTCATCTATCTATCTATCTATCTATCTATCTATCTATCTATCTATCTATCTATCTCAGTCTGTTCATTATCTATCTGAATATACCTGTTCGTCATTTATCGATCTATTTATCTAACTTTTGCAGTCTTTTAATATCTATCGGAAGTTGAACAAAAGAAGTAAATTAATTATCTATCTGCCTATATATATATATATATACATATATATATATGTATAGGCAGAAAACTTTTTATACATGTATCTTTGAATCTGATAATCAAAGAAATTCATATATTTCATTAACTTTATCTAATGTTCTTATAGATTTCTAAAAGAATACAATAAGTGACCATAACGATTATTGTTCCAAACACTTTCGGACTATATATTAACCATTTTGAATGAGTTCTTTGTTACTCTTCATATTCTGAAGTGTATTTGGTTTGGTATCTCAGGTTGTGCGAAAGGATTTTCTCGTGACTCCATGTTGCTGTATTATCCCGAAAGACTGCCAAGACACTCTCACCATTGTTAAATAAAGTAAGGTTGTTTAATATAAAGGGCATCGATAATTTTTGTTTGCAATTACAACGGTATAGAATGATGATATTATCAACCGGAATTTTTTTTTTTTATGGGGTCTGTCAGCTCTTTCTGAATAACTATATCCTTTTTATATCAAACTAGCAGTAGAGCCCGGCGTTGTCCGGAGATGTAACAGTAAGAGATAGATCAAGTATCGACCATCATAAAGACTGCAAAATAAAATTGACAAAGATTATTGTTTAAGATTCACGGACACGCATGTCTTAATTATTTTTTATTTTTATTTTTTTTTTAAGAATTGGGCAAACCTAAACTCAAACAAAAACATTGTTTTCAATCGTTATGAGTCTACCGATTGAATAGAATTTTGTTATAAACAATTGTCTTGTAAATGGAATTTTTAAAGCATTCTGAATGTAAAAATAAAGAAAAAAGTGTGGAAGGCAATAAGAAACACTACCTGCCAAAAAAAAAGTGAAATTTTGTTGAAATCCGTTGAATCCGATCCCATATATAAACGAGCACACACACACAAAAAACAAGCTGGGTTTTATAATAAGTATAACTCGATATGAGTTGTCCCCCTTTCATTCTCGTGATGCCTCTTAATCGGGTTTTCAAATTGATTTCGTGCAAAAACAATTTTGTTTTTCCAATTTTTGGCGCTGCCAGAAGCACAGCAGGGTAATTTTACGTAGTCCTGTGAAGTTTTGTTGAAATCGGTTGAAAAATGTAGGAAATCCGATCCAATATATAAACGAACAGACACACACACACACAGCTTGGGTTTTATAATAAGTATGATGTCAAGTCTAATCTAGACCATTAGTTTATGATGAGAGACGCAACGTAATGGTTATTGTTTATTTTTAGTTAGTTCACCTCAACTAAAGTAGTAAAGCCACTAAGACACAAGGCATTATTATTTGGCGTGGAAGAATTAGAAACAAAAACATTACTAAGGAGCGAGAAAAAAATCAGTAATCAGGAGGAGAGTAGATGGCGATTGACATTGCATTTAATTCAAAAAGTAAAGTTGGCTGAAAAGCATGTAACCGGAAGTGTGTTCCACAATGGAGATGTGCGAGAAAAGAAATAGCTAGCATAGAACTTACGGTTAAATCTAATCAGTTCAATTGATGAAACCTCGACGCCTGTCTAGTACTGTTCTTAAACGCATATCGATGAGCAATATTTATTTCTGCTATGTACAGAAAATGAGGCACAAGTCCCAAAAGGGGAATGGGGGAAAGGACGGTCTTCATCCGTCTTAACATTAAACTTATCTAGCCACAAAAACTGACCCGAACCTACAACAATATTCCTTACGCCAAAGCAACGCATTGTTAGTTTCTTACTACACTCACCATAATACCTCATGTATCTATGAAAGTCCTAACTAGTCCCTATATGTACAATTCATTATCTTTGAGGAAAGAGAATAAAATAACATTTTAAAGATTTGAACCCCAATGAAAATCTACAAAAATGAACAAAAACTATATACAAGAAACTAAACAAATAGTGTAGGCAATAAAAACTCTACAATCCTTAAATGTGGCAAAAGCATCAGTTCAATGAAAGAATTCAATTCGGGACTTTAATAAGAACATTCATTTATCCCAAGCACTCACTCAACCGCACACTCAAGCAAACACAGCAGCAAATACGAAAATCACACCCGAAAAGAGAGGCACCCTGCATCCACCAGAAAACTGACATCACTAACAAGGGAAAGTGTCGGTAATTAAAGTAGCAAAAAAAGGGACAGAAATAAAATGTGCCAATGAGCATACATCCGCTAGCTAAGGAAGATAGCACCCGAACAATTACCATGAAAATATTTATAGTAAAAAAAAAAAGGGAGACAACCTTACGGCAGTGGGAAAGTAACTGATTCCGTGACAATAAAACAGAATCAAATTTAGATTTAATAGACGTGTTGTTATTAATAATTATGAGCCTGGCAGTTTTTAATTTTCTATGGTATATTGTAAGTTTTTACAGGTTTGCTGGGGTCAACAGGTGAAATGTATTGTTTAATGATAACTAACATAGCGAATACATCATGTTTATAATTTTGTGTATTTGACTACAGTGAAAATTATTAATATTTTATTAGACTATAATTTCAGCATTGGTGTCTTAGGTTCGGTAGGAATCATTTAAATTGGTTCGAAATTATATAATTGCTAAAATCATTCTTTTTGAAGGTCACTAAAAATATTTTCCGGATAGAGACGATGTGCACTATTTATGAAGTTCTTCATAATCATTGCTATTTTATAACATTGGGGACATTCTCTATCATAGTTTATGTTGTAAATTAAGGAAGGCTAATGAATAGAATGATCAAGATTGGTAATGAATGATAATACTTAGGACACGAACAACACATATAAGACTCGCCAGTGGCGCATAGAAGTAGTAGTCACCTGCTAGAACTGAGTCAAGTGAATTCCACAATGAATCTACAACTGCAGGATATCTACCAAGCGCCTTATATGGTCAGATGTGGCACAAGGCCAAATTTAATATGAGGTATCCGAGCCCGTAGGCTCGGCCAAAAATTCCATGCAGACAACGTATAAAACGGGTTCAGGTAGCTGTTTCTTGAGACGAGATTCTGCCCATTCGATATAGCCTCGTCTGGAGATCCTGTCTGCCTAGAGGCAAAGAGTTTGACCAGCATACCTAGAGACGAATCTCCAACTGCAGCATATCTACCATCCGCACCACGCGGTCAGATGTGGCACAAGATCGAATTTAATGTGGGTTATCGGAGTCCGTAGACTCGACCTAAAATTCCCCGTCAACCCCGTAAAATAACTGTAGCTGTTTCCGTTCCAGATAGCCTCGTCTGGGAATACTCTCTGCCCAGAGGCAGAGAATTTAACCAGAAAATCTGGAGACGAATCTCCAACAGTAGACCAACATACAGTATCTACTACTGTATTTATGTGAATGGGGGCATAACCATTATCGTCCGTAGGTATGCTACAACAGTTTAGAATGCAGGAATTCTTATTCGAAGTTTTTTAAACCAGTAGATGTTAAATGCATTGGAATTGAGTTCTAAACCTTGGCGAATGGTATTTGGTTACTAACATTATGTTCTTAAAAGAACTTTCGATATTTTTTCAAAAGTTGATTTATTGGTGTGATTTACTTTTTCCATAGTGTTTATTGAATAATATCATCATCCAAACCATGAAGACACACACATTAAATATTCTGTTATATAGTTATTTTCTTGGATTTGGAACAAGTGGTGTATTTTGTTTCTGTATCAAGAAAGAAGTGAAAATAAGAATTATTTCACTCATTAATTAGTTTATTGAGTTCAATGACAAACATATGATTAGCTTTCGTAATACTAAGATGCGTTCTGGGTATGACGATAAACTACATCTGGCAGCGAGGCCACTGATTGGGAGATTGGAGATTTTGAGGAACGTGGTATCACCTCGTAATTGCTATTCCTAGGTTTATTCTGACATGGGGTGGTAGCACTTTTTAGTGTCCCAGATATAAGCTCATAGTGAACCTCCAAACAGAAATCTACAGTACATTTTGATAATAAAATGACCAACAATATATTTTTATAGAAAAATTGCAATTACTTCAAAACTAAAAGGATATAACAATATTTTTGTTCAGTAAAATTACCAGCAATCCATATATACAGTGTGTTCCCAAAAATACTTTAACTGGTCATTTCATGAATAATCCGGCCATGTCACAAATAAAATTAATGTGATTTCTATAAAAAAAAAAAAAAATTATAGGAACCTTTTAAAAATAATTTTGCCCCAAGCAAGGCAATAAAGCCAATAAGAGATAGAGGGTAACTGAGTGTGAAAGAATATGAGAAAAAATGATTAAGGAAAATTAACAATAAAAGAAAAAGAATTAAGGAGACAGAAGGAAACGATTGACATTGCATTTAAATTTTTAAACATCAAACATAACTGGAAAGCTAGAAGCCGGAAGAGAATTTCACAAGTGAGAAAATGCGAACGAAAAAACTCTTAGCATTGAACGAACGCTTACATCCAGCCATTTCAACCTTAAAATGATGGTACCTAGCTGCCAATCAAGTATTGTGTTTAATTTCTTAAAGTCGAGGCACGGAAGCGGAAAGCTCATCAGAACAAGTGCCATAGTAATACTAATAAAAGAAGTTACAGCGTTGGAAAAATGACTGAAGCCAAGATGTTAACATTACAGATTCTTCTTTGGATTATATATATATATATATATATATATATATATATATATATATATATATATATATATATATGTGTGTGTGTGTGTGTGTGTGTGTGTGTGCGTGGGTGTGTGTGTGTGTGTGCGTGTGCGTGTGTATTTATGTATAAAATAGATCTAATAAATTATCGTAGACTTCTTCACATGGACTCCTGTAAAATGTCAACAATCTTTAACGGTAAAATCATATTACTAATACAATAAGCAGTCATGGATATATTAAGTTTTGCACGAATTGAAATGTGTAAACATTATGTTCTGATAACTGATATTGGCGCGGCAAA